TCTCAACAGATGAATGATGGAGTCTAGGGTGACCATCTTGAAGCGTTTTGCATGAAGGTAAATATTCAGCTCCCTTAGATCCAAGACTGGTCTGATTCCCCTGTCCTTCTTTGGAACGGCAAAGTAGCAAGAATAAAACCCGTTTTTTATGTCTCTTCTGGGTACTTTCTGGATGGCACGTTTCTGTAGTAGGGTGCGAATTTCCTCTTCTAGGACAGGGTTGGAGAGAATGAGTTTTACCTGTCCCAAAGGAGGATATTCTATTAGTTCTAGTTGGTATCCTGATTGAATGATGTTTAGAACCCAGGTATCTGTGGTTATGATTGTCCAGTTTCATAAGTATGGATGAAGTCGTGTTGGATGTTTCTGTCCAGTCAGGGGTAAGGGGAAGTCAAAGATAATGTTTTGATTTGTTTGCAGGAAGTTTGTAGGATTGCCTACGCTGTGTGGACTGAGAGCAGAAGATGGATGAAGAAGATGCTGCCTGTGATGATTTGGATGGACCTTGGCCTTTAAAGGGACGGAAGGATTGAGAAGGTTGTGAGTATTGTGAAGATTGAGAATATTGTGAGTACGGTCTACCCCATTGATATCTGGGAAGTCTTGGTTGCTGTTGCACAGAATATGATTTAGCTGTTTTCTTCATTTTATGAAGCTCGTCCAAATTACTGTCTTTTCAGTAAAGAGGCCCTTAGCATCAAAGGGCAAGTTTTCTATCCTTGTTTTAACATCGTCTATGATTGTAGTGATTCTAAGCCAGGCATGACGTCTGAGGGTGACAGCAGACATCAGAACCCTGGCAGCAGCATCGGCAGCATGACGTGATGCTCATCTCTGATGTTTAGAGACTGTCTGAGCCTCTTCGTAAGTATTGATAAACCCTAGCGTATGTCTTCAGGTAATTTTAGAGCCAGAAGGATTCTCAACCATAGTTGTTTCTGGTAGGCGCTCATTGCTGTTAAGTAGTTGGTCACCCTAAGGAGAAAGGAGATTAAAGAATACATCTTTTTACCCAGGACCTCCAACTTTCTCCCTTCTTTGTTAGTAGGTGTAACATGAACCTTGGAATTTGTCCTAGAGGAGCTTGTCTCTACAATTAAGGAATTGGGGACAGGATGTTTTAGGAGAAAATTGGTGTCGTCTCCATGGACATACACCTTGAAATGGGTGTAGAAGTAGATGGTTGATTCCAAGCATCTCTTATCAAGTCCATAAGGGCAGGGATGAATGCTAAGCTGAGCGGTGGGGTGTGCTCTTGATTAATGTCACTGAAAATCAGATCCTCAGTTGGTGGTTTAGATTGTTCTGTGTCCATTTTTAGTGTCTTCGCCATTCTAGACACCATTTGCACATATGAGGAAAAATCCTCAGATGGAGATGAGGGGTGGGAGTCAGCTGCATCTGAACCCATTATTTCTCCTTCAGGTAGATCATCTGCTGATGCATCGTGACGAGTGTCATCATCAGGAGGATAGGAGTTAGTTGAAAAGTCTGCCTCTTCCTCTGATGTGGAAGGTGAGTGCTGTCTTTTTCGATGTCTTTCCATGGTAGTAGATACAGACTTAGCGTGTTGGGAAGATGGCAAGACTGTTGATGCCGAAAAAGGTGGCACAGGCCTGTGAAGGGTTAGAAGGTAGAAGTGAGCCGTCCGCAGAAATCAAAATAAAAGACAATAACAACGGAAGGAAACAACAGGTTAACAGTGAAAGTGGTGAAGAAGACAAAAAAGGGTTAACAGAAGGAGAGGGGGAGGGGAAGGCAGAGGTGTGCTTGGCCGAAGGGGAGTGGGAGGAGTCAGAAGTGACAGTTGGGGAGGAATATAAGGATGAAGAGGGGGTTGTGTGGTTCAGTTCGGTGGTAAAGGCGTATGAAGAGAGGAAAAGAGAGGAAAGACGGAGAGCATTCGAGAAAGTCAGATTTCAGGGATTGGTGAAGGACTTTCTGAATCTGAAGGTGGGCGGTTTATTGCCTAACCCTCCTGATCCTCAAGGGATACCCCAAAGAATAACTGTCCGGGAGTGGGATGTGATTGTGGCCCCAAGGGAAATCGAGTTAATACGGGCTAGGGAGAGCGCCACAGCATCTCTGCCTGAGGGTCCGGATGCGGGAAGATGGATCCGTCATCGATGCTGTGGAACAATCTGTGCAGTGAAGAGTCTCCCGAGCCCTTGGATGGCGCCCAAGGAGTCCCATGGAGGGCCACCCCACTGACTCAATGGGACATTAACCATAGTTTGAATGTTAATAATGACGGCCAGTTGCCGGTGTTGGAACCGTTATTATCGTTTGAAGAAGTGCAGGTGGACGTTAAAGAGAGTAAAAGTTCTGATGTTAAATTCAAAAAGACGCGTCCGTTATCATTTTGCGCCGCCATGGAGGGGTCGCCTGCGGGAAATAACGAACCTTTTCACAAGGCCCTTGTTGAACTTGTGTGATGTGTTCGCTTATCGTCTTTGTCGGCGTCGGCAATTTTTCGGTGTCGACGTCAATGGGGAGATGTAGAAGGGGAGGAGGAAGATATTGATGGATATGAACGTCTCGACCTCTTCTTTCGTCTACGACGATCAGTTGATCAGAGGATTCTGACTCGGGGGAGTCTCTTCGACATCGATGGCGACATTTCTTTCAGTCAGTTTCAGAGTCTTCGGAGTCGTAGTGTTTATGTTGACGTCGAGATGAGCGATGACGAGAATGGTGCCGGTCGGGCAGTAAATGCTTAGTCTTCTTAGATTTCTTACGTGGAGGACAAGTCGGTCTCGACTGAACCAATGCCGAAGAAGGAGCCGGAGATGCCCGCCCGGTAGACACATGGCTATCTGGGCCAGAAGCCAAACTTGTGGTAGCTTGTACAAGTTGGCTCGGGGTTGGAGATGTCAGACCCACAAGTACTAGTAACTCCACTTGTTTAGGAGGTAGCGAGGTTGCTGCCTCAGACATTGATTCCCGATCCCGGGAAAAGTCCTGCAAAATCGGTGAAGGAACCGATGCGGAGACTGGAGGCAGTTGTTTGAGGGGTTCTTTAGACTTAGTAGAACCTTTTGGCTTGGTTTGTTTGGTAATTTAACCGAAGCAGAGGAAGATGTCTTCGACGTCGAGGTGGAGGTTTTCTTTAAGCCAGCAGATTTTTTTGGTGGGGTTTTCCTCAGGAACAGCCGAAGACAACTGAGGAGAAGTTGCATGAATGTTGGCGCGTGGTGTCGCAGAAGGGGAAGAGATTTCCATTTTGGATGGTTGAGATGCCGAAAGATTTTTATCCCACAAGTGATATTTTAACCTCTGTTGGCATGCTTTAATTGCAGCTTTTGTGAACTTTTTACAGTACTTGCAACTGCCAGGCTGGTGGGATTCCTCAAGACAAAAAAGACAACAATTGTGACTGTCCTGAAAGGGTAGTTTGCGGGAACAAACAATACAGTGGCTGAAGGGACCGGAACAGGATATAAGCAGATGAGAAAAGGATCAGTCTTACTGATGTGAATTGTTGATTGAAGGCGCGTGGCCCGCTAACGAGCAGGTAACTGTCCGGATACAATAAATCCCAGTGTGAGGCAAACAGAATGGTCAAAGGCAGTCTGAGATCAGGGCAACGGAGGACAGTGATAAGATAGTCCGTGATCAGAAAAATACCGAAAATCTAACAAAAATTTAGCAAAGCCCGTGACAGGTTCCTAGCCAGACAGCGGTAAAATGGAACTGGAGGCTGAGGCAGATGGAGCATTTGTTATTGGGGCAACTTAAACTTTGTTACTTTTCTCTTCAAGCTCTAGAATATTCCAAGAGGTCCAGCGCAGGCGCTGATTTAACCCTTTTGTGTGTATTCACAGAGGCCACGATGAAGAAAGAAATATTTGCAGACATGCCTACATTCTATTGCAAATTCTCTGCATCCTGACAAATTGGCAAAGTCATGATCTAAAGTAGAGGCTCATCCCTGCCCCCAGAACCGGCTGGTCCACTCACCAGTAGCTGTGCAGCACGGGGGTCTTTTGTTGCTGCTGCTGTTGTGCCAATCCAGGAAGGAGCCCAGCTGGCACTTCTTTGCCTCCCCACTCAGCCAACCACTCCGGCAAGGAGGCAGGATGGGGAGTCTTCCCGCTCAACTGATGAGTGGTCAGCTGCACAGAGAAGTGCCAGCCAGGCTCCTTCTCAGATTGTGCAATGGCAACGATGGACTCCAGCGCTATGCAATAATCAGTCAGTGGACCAGCTGGTTTTTTTGGGGGGGATGGGCCTCTGTGGCACCTGTGGTGCTGCTATTCATACAGTGTTAGTATCCCCAGGGATATGAACACTAAAATCCCATGTCTAATCTAAAGCAGTGGTTCACAATCTTGGGCCCCCAGATGCTCTTGGACTAAAACTCCCAGAAGACTTCATCACTAGCTGGGATTTCTGGGAATTGTAGTCCAAGAACATCTGGGGACCCAAGGTTGGGAACCATTGATTTAAGGGCATCCAGTAGCCTGGCATTTCTTTGTCATTGATACTGACAAGGATTTTCAGGTCCCACATATCACCATCAACAGGCCAGTAAGCAGCTGCACAAGCAAACACCCTTCTTCTGGGAGTGAAGGAATTCCGTTGCCTATCTCTCTGTCTTTGTGACCTGTTCTAGAGATGAAAAGTGAAATTGGACTACATCCCCTTTTTTCCACTACTCCAAGCTATAAGATGCATCAGCTGAGAAATCCAGTGTAAACAATACATTCAGTGCAGTTGGGTATTTAATTTAATTTATTAGTATAACAATCATCTTCTTACTGTGAGATAGATTCCTGAGAATGCTCTAGACTGAGCAATGGTTCTGTTTCATGTCCCAAGCCGAATCCTAATGCAGACAGAAGCCTACAGAGCAGAAGCCAAATCCAACCATTTTCTGGAAAATCCCAATACAAAAAAATTGTAACGCCTCAGAGATAAGTCTGTAATTTTTGCCACTCCCAAAAGAACAGTTTGAGGGGGAAACCTAGCCACACAAACCAGAAAGCAGACATAATTACCTGTGCCACAGGTGACAGTGCATTTTGTCCAAGATGCATACTGCCAGAAGAACTCAGCTGGAATGATCTCATTCTCATTATCAGGTTTCCTTTGAATGGTGTATTGATAGCGGATTCCTGGGTTTTTTTCCTGAAATAAGAGCTGAAACAAAAGAATGAATAAAGTTCAATCACAAAATTCAGACTATAAGAAAAGTGCTTGAATACTGGGGAAAATATGACATTCCATCAAGTGAAGTGTTAGCCAGAGCTTTTTACATCTCCTCCAACAAACAATTGTGTATTTATTGCAAGGCTGGAAAGCAATCTGTTTTCCATTTAAAGTCACAAGGTTGTTACAGAATGATTATTACAAAATAGGACCTATTCAGGGCAGGGCAAGAATCCAAAGGAACATCTACACCCACAGAGGTTTCTGAGAAGAGGCCAAGCATTCAATTTGGTGGGAAAATGCCACTGCTACATTCAATTCTACCAACAAGTCAGGTTGGCTCAAAGGGGAATTCTGGCTTTCTTCAGTGTAGCAATGAGAATCACAAGATACCAAATTAATTATGCAGCAGCAGCAAAAAGAATTAACTTGGCCACTCAGGTTTGCCTACAGTCAGAGAGCTCATTAATGATATTGTGTTGGCAAAAAGAATGCACTGCATGTGCAAAACTAAGGAATATAGGAAAACTGACTGCTATTGAAGGCCTGCCTATGCTAGGATCTACACTAGTTTCAAGGCAAGGCCATGAAGGAACTGTGAAAGAATTCTCCAGCATTCTCATATGCCAACATTTTCTAACTGATTTCTGTGTGTAATAAAGAAAGGATGCCTAAATGCAGCTTTAATCCAAACATCTGTCAAACTAGCGTGCTGCTCTTGAAATGCTTGCAGATTTAATACCTTTAAAAGATTTCATTCCTGCCAAAGCCATATTGTTCCTGGAATGAAAGTTGGCACCACCAGAAATACTGCTTGAAGAATGCCCACAGTTTTAAAAAAGTTTATTTCAATTACGTTACCAATCCCACAGAGCTTAACTAGAGACACTCTGCTATCATTCCTGCCCATAAGCAAGAACCTAAACCCCCAAACCACAAATGTTTGCTGTAGGAGACCCTTAACTTAACACTGTGTCTAACTGGCTGAAATACTGTTGTGCAGTTCAACTTTCGGATGTGTACTGCCACAAGTTAAGAAACCTCCATAGACACTAATTCTGAAGATGAAGACTACACAACTGAAGAATCACTTTGACATGCATTATTATCAATTTGAATCTCTAGAAATGTAAAATCAATTTGCCTTCTCTGTTTATATAGACAAAGGGCAACCAGACACTCTGGCTCACTACTCAAAATGCTGATTCCATAGCTAGAAACAGTACATTTTTAAGAGGAAAGGGCTGTTTATTCTAACACGCACATGCCTCCGTCTGTTTTGGATAAATCAGCCTGCTTTTGTTTTGTAATTGGTTAAACAGATGGCACAGCTCTGTTTATTATACACTCTACTGCCTTGTTTTCAAACATGCATTTCCTCATTCTTATGGCAGCTGCAGCACAAGGAAACATGAGAATCCCCATATGGGAAAATCTGGAGATTAATTTTAGATGGCACACTAGGCAAAAACAGTTGACTGGAGCCAAATAGTAAGTACTGCCTAGTGGGCCTAGAGAAAGACATTAAATGCCTTCTTTTAACCCACCAGAGTGCAAAGTTGCACTTTGATGAGCTAGTCTGGTGTCATCAGCTAAATACCTTAAAGTATATAATTCCACCTCTCCCCCCTCCCTCTTGCTCCTTGTTAGTTCAGGTGTAGGTAGAATCAGCTCAGATTTCTCTCCTCAGGAACACAGTGGAAAGGGGGGGAAATCATAAGACTTTCATACCTTGAAGAAGGACACATGAGCTCCACCACAGAGCCCACAGACTATGGAGCTATCTATGCTCTACTTTAGTTCAGAGCAATTTACATCCAGTAAAAATTCCCCAAAGCTACTTTTAAATTGAAATTATAGGAAGACTGAAACATTGATTTTCTAGCAGCATGTAGTGGCCTGAATATGCAAAAGCCATTGACTATGTGGCCCACAGCAAACTATGGCAAGTCCTTAAAGAAATGGGAGTGCCTGACCACCTTATCTATCTCCTGAGAAACCTATATGTGGGACAGGAAGCAACAGTTTGAACTGGGTATGGAACAACTGATTGGTTCAAAATTGGGAAAGGAGTACGACAAGGCTGTATATTGTCCTCTGGCTTATTTAATGTATATGCATAATACATCATGCAAAAGGCTGGACTGGAGGAATCCCAAGCTGGAAGTAAGATTGCCGGGAGAAATACCATCAACCTCAGACATGCAGTGTGAAGGCAAGAGGAGACGGGGACAACAGAGGATGAGATGGTTGGACAGTGTCATCGAGGCTACCAACATAAATTTGACCCAACTCCGGGAGGCAGTAGAAAACAGGAGGGCCTGGCGTGCTTTGGTCCATGGGGTCACAAAGAGTCGGACATGACTTAATGACAACAACAATGTAGTGGCCAAGACAGATCAAGCAAACTTGTAATAAAACCCTCCACACATGCCTTGGATGTGCCTCAAGAAGGAAGGTCTTCTGGGCATAGAAGGGCAGCAGTGTGGGAAGAGAAGAGCTCACTAACTGGGTCTCTGAAAGCAAGCCTCTTTGATTTACAACTCATTAGCAAACTAGAAGACAGGTGAGCAGACATTCTATCCATTCACAAAGAACAAGAGTCAGAAAAGGAAAAGAATTCCTTGGCTAAAAGGAAAAGAAACATTACAGTAAACATCTCTCGTTTTGTCAGAATTGTTGGAAAGTAAGCAAACAGTGGCACAGGAGCTATGTTAAGTAGTGGATCCAACGCTTTGAAACTCAGAATGATTGCCTGAGGACATCTCCCCTTTCATAAAGGAACCATGGCCACATGGAGATGTCAGGAGGACCCATGGCCACTTCTTTCATCTCTAGAGAACAAAGGAAAGCTGTCTCCTCCTTGGAGGAACAAGAGATGTTGAAGGGAATTGGAAGTTGGTTATTCCCTTTGTGGTACAGAGAGAAGAATGGAGAGATCTGTCCAGTCTCACCCCTCCCTTGGAAAAGGAAAAGTGATCTGTTCATTTTATTTTATGAAGTGTGGAGCTAAATCCCCGTACGCCCACCTTTGGAGATTAAAATATAGAGAAGAGGCAAGGTTGCTAAGAAAACAGCAACAGCAAGGGAATGGTGGTCTCAAGGACTCCCAGGCATAGGTGAAATGCCCTATAAATTAGTAGCAATTTCAAGGCACACTCCCCACTGACACTCAATATCAAATAACAGGAAAAATATACTGTAATTTTTCCAGTCAGAGAAAGGTAAGAAGAAAAAAAGTGACATCAGCAACTCTATGAATAGAAAGCTAAAGTTGGCAGAAGGTCAGCATATATCAGAACAAGCAAAGAGCAGTCTAAAATATCCAAGGAAGTCCTCTCTCTACTCTTCCCCATGTAAAGACATCTATCCTCTTCAGAGTAAATTGAGTTGTATGCAGTCATTTCCAAGACAAATGAATAAACATTGAAACGCATTAAGGCTGGTTTCTGCACAAGAAAGATCCAACTAATTAGCAGCTTTACATATTGGCCTTTTCTACATTTATCAGGTTTTATTTAAAAGATTTGGAAAATGGATACACCACAGAGTGATCTTCAAACTTGCATCAAGCTCTGGAAATATAAGTTGATGAGAGTGGCCACTGAACCAGAAATGTCTCTAGTTTGCACATCTGGCTACTGGTCCTAGAGCCAGCAAAGATGATCAAGTTAACATCTAGACACAGACCAAGTGAAGAACCTATACCACCATCATGGGTTGCTGAACCCTAGATAAGCAACTGCATCCTTCTGACTTTGTTTTCTCTGAGGATAACCCCAATAATTCTTGAACGGGAATGAGACATACAATGTATGTTGCAGGGTAGCCGTGACATAAAAGCAAACTGAGCAGACTCAATCAATGCAGAACAGCTACTTGTGGTCAGTAAAAGGACTCACACTTATTTTCAGAACACTGTTTAGCTGTAGGCTCCACAGCATCATTTTAGTGTCAGAAATGCGAGGTGAGGTACCAGCATGCTGAATATCCTCTTGTTGTGTCATTCTGCAGCTCCTGAGGTGGCAATATGTAGTACAGCTTCCTAGCATAAGAACCAAGAAAGCGTGCCTCAAAAAATTAGAATGTCTCTCCAAGAAAAGATGCAAAATGCATCAATCTCACTTGGACAAAACTAGGCCAGATACATCCACAAAAGCCAGAAAAAGGAGACGAGATCAACAGGACCCTTCAAGCAGTCCAGCACAGCTGTTTACCAAGGAAGCTGGAGTGGGAGGTGGTTGGGTGGGTCTCTGCTGAAGTGAATACACAAAATGCAGGCCATCAAAGAGGTGGGATGGAAACAATGCCTCAGAACATGCTTTTAAAACCAAAGCAGACAAAAGGACAGCGCCCAAACAGACTAGATCCAGAATCTTGTTTTTGAAAATTCCTCACATATTTGAAGCAGTGACATAAATTTTAATTCAGCTTGAACTATGTCTCCAGAACAGCATTTGGAACTGGAATCACTAAACTGAAAGCTTCTATAAAACTGACACATATTTGCATGGCAGCTACAGTTGGGCAGAACAGTTGTAACAAGTACCTGGACATGCAGGGTGGAGAAAACAGCACTTACTGTATTTCTGGCCTTCACGCTTAAAAACAATCAGTTTCAAGAAAAGCAGTGGCAACCTTAAGAGTCCTCATGGGAAACCTTGTCAAGCAAAACTAAACAGGTTAAAATGCTGTTTATGGAGCTATACGGTATAAGGCTGATGTGCCTTAGGCATGGTGATTTTTCAGAAATGAAACATTTCCAATTCTGTCTCCCCTGAAGGTCCCTACATCCTCATATAATCCCTTTAATTGTAAAGAAGCCCTTGGAGGCTGTGAAGTGGTAGAAAGTCTTTAATTTCAAAAAATTGTCACCATCAGTAGAGCCATCCTGGTGCTGGAAATTTTCAGAAATTAAAGACTTTCTCCTGTCCTACAGCTCCTCATAGCTTCTCCTATGACTAAAGGGATTCCATGGGAGTCTTAGGACC